TTAAATCAGCTATTCCTTAAGTTTCTAGATGGTTAAAGATGGTCTCTAGAAATATAAATAGCTAAAACAAAATCATACATGAGACTAAACCCAATATAAGATTAAAGTTATTGTTCATTTTATTTTTGTGAGTCAAAATAAATGACAGTCATTTTAGCTGTTACTATAAATGGCTCATGACCCTTGAATAAAATAACTTCCCATTTTTGTTGGTGGTCATGTTCTCTTTAACCTGAGACACTGAACTGATGCAATACTTAAAGACCTAACTCCATGTTACTGGGTTCCAGTTAGATTGCTGGGATGTGTACAAAACTTTCAGAATTATTGTCTTTATGTTTCTTAAAGAGTTTTTTCTACTTATCCAAAACAATTCCTTTTTCAACTCCATAGCAAAACATAATTGCTTATGGGATTGGAGCAGGGAAAAGAATAGGATACAGATAAACAGGTAAATGTGGATTGTGTTTTTCTTTTACTACAGAGATGGAAGGGAAGAAGATTAATGAAGTAAATTAGATTGACTGCAGTTCAGTTAAATAAATAATAATAAAGGCTGGATGTGATGGTGTACCTATAGTTCCAGCAACTTGGGAGTCGGGGTGGGGGTGGACTCAGAAAGAAGAAAAGTATTTCATTAAGCAATTCACTTGAGAAAAGACACTTGGAATATACATACTTACAGCTTTCCCAAGTAGCAAGGCTATGGGAATTACCCACTGAAATGCAACCTAAGGAATTCTCCCTCTAAAATGTGGCCAGAGCAGTGTTTTCGTATCAGAAGAGGCCATGACGTTCACCAAGAACACAAAACCAAAGACATTAGATGGCTTGCAGTTCACCCTGCTGACATAAACTGAGCCCTAAATATGCGGATTCCTAGTGCAGGGTTGTTCCTACAGAAGCATATTGTCTTGGGCTTGTGTTTGTTTTATAAACAGCATAAAGGGGTCAGGGAATAAAGAAAATACAGTGCAAAATTTAGAAAAATGCTAAAATGTTTAAATTAATTGCCAACAAATATTTTATTGTTGTATTATGTAAATGTCACATTGTTATATTGTTTTATTAGCCTATTTTCTGAGATATTGGATGATAGAAGTAGTTGTAGGATAAAATTTTTCCTTGGAAAATATTTAATATATTGAAATTCATATCTAAATTTTTTAATTACATAACTGCATTGATTTAGAAATGCAGGATTTCAAGGGAAACCATGAAACAATAAAATGTTGAGCTAAAATCTCAAGTTTTGTTTATAGCCCTTCCCCCTCCCATGTGTTAATATACTGATTAACTAAAGGAAAATCAGCTATTATTCATTTAATATTATTGACCATTGCTTTCAGTAGAGAAGTTATCAGTTCTAGTAAGGCTGTAATTTATAAGCCAAGTAATTATAACCTGGCATTCTGGAATATGGGCTCATTTGATGCATGATACCTCCCAGGCCAAAGTGTAACAGTTCAGGTCTTATATGGAGCATTCGGAGCATTCCTTCTCCAAGATCTAACACACTAGTGATTTACTCTAAAACTTAAAACCAACCCGAGCTTAATTATTGATCATTGGGAATGTGAGGAGTGATGGAAGATGAATAAATAGGAGAAATAATGGTTTCTGGGGGCAAAGTTATTCTATTTACAAAATGTATTTAAATAACTTACAAGTAGAAGAACAAATTCACTTCCTACAAGGTAGGAGGCTTGACATTTTTGTAAACTATCAAAAACATAGAGAGTAAATAATGCCTCCTTCTGTCTCCTATCTTTTCTGGTTGCTTGACTTCAAGATTTCACCAGAGAAATTGTTGACAGAGAGCAGCTGGTACTGTTGATTGCTAAATCAATTCCAAAACTACTAGTATCTGTTGTTTTCCTTTCCAATAACTTCAAGACCCACCAATAACCTTACAGGTTAATTCCCTCAATGTTGTCATTCACCACAATGCATTGTCACTCTAGCCATTAAGAAAAATGTTTCAATACCTAACCATGGTGCTAGATGATACTTTATCAGGCCTATGGTTAGCTTCATGGAGACCCAGAGAAATAAAAGCAAACTAACCTTAAGATGCCTTCAACAATTCTGGTGACAAGTCATGTGCGCTTTTGGGCAAGGAACTTGTCCTCTCTGCTTGCAGTTTCTGTATCAGATGCCTTTGACTCACCACACAATGGAGGCAGCTCTAAGTTAACAACAAACTACTGGCTTCTTTTGGCAACTACGATGGTGAGATTTAGGTGTAATGCCAAATTTAAATTATAGGAGACAGAGATTATGCATCTGTTTTAAACTATACCACTTAGGAAACTTAGTGGAGAAAAAAGCAAGGGGAAGAAAATCTAAAAGGCATTGACCCCCTGCTAAAAACATACTTATTTTCTGTAAGTTCTGGAAACATATAGCCGTGTGAGCATTCTAGAACTTTCCCTAAGTTCAATTTCTTAATCTCTCAAGTGAAGTTATCAACTCCCTAGCATGGCCTTATGGGAACAGAATGCATGGCTCCATGCCGAGTTCAGCACAGGGCCTGGACGACCATGCACACTGCACTCAGTCCTTCCTAACTCCGCCTTCCTGTCCTCACCTCCACTAGCCCTCAAAGCTGAGAGAAGACAGCTGCAGATGAAGACTCAGAGGACTCCCGAGCTTCCCCTCAACTGTAGTTTTACCATGCAAAGCAAAGCTCTTTGTAAATCTCCTGTCTCATTATCTTCAAATGCAAGGGGATAATTTTTTAAACAATGACATCACTTTTGAAAAACAAGATCGCTTCTCTTTATAAAAGGATCTTATTCTTAGAAAATAAAATAAGTTTGGTCATTTTTAATTACTATATTAAGCCACTTCCATACCACAAGGGACTTGACACAAGGATGGGAAGAGAGTTTCGAATCCACTTTCTCTTTCGTCTTCACCTGCAGAAACATTTTGTCTCAGACACAGACACATCCAAATAATCTACACTCACTAGCAACTCAAGGACAATTGAGGGGTGAAAGCAGAGTCAAAGAGCCAATTACAAAGGAACCTCCTAGGGTTAGAGTTTACCTCAAGGGTGAAGAACATCTTGAAGCTTTGTGTTAGCAGAGAATTTTCTACAGGATACTTTAACAAAGACAATAAAAACTTTACATCTTTTCAACTGCAGATATGTGAGTGACATAAAGTATTTCACAGATAAAGAATAGAAGGGGAGTATGTTAATAATTTAATAGGCTTAACCTTACAGTTAAATTCACAAATGTATCCTCACATGAATGACCACTTCCCGTCAGGCAATCTCCTTCTGTTTTCAATTGTGTATAATTGTTACTACTTTGTCATTTAAAACAATGGACACTGTTCACTCACTGTCTGCCAAGAGGCTGTTTATCATTACATATCATATCACTCTGGGAGGAAATCATTATCAACTTAATCACATCATGAATTATAGAAAATAGAAAAGGTTTCTAGCTCATGCAGCCACCATAGGAAAGAATATTAAATCAGCAGTCTGTTTCTTACAGGATGTTTTGCTATGGCATTGTGGTATTTTTTCGCGTCTCTTTTCATTTAATTTATAAGATTTCCAACGTTAAGAGCAGCCCTCTCTACTAAGCAAGTGCTTATTATGTGAACACCGGGCAGTAACAATAAAAAGTCATTTGTGGGTGACACTTCCTCCCTCAGGAAACCAGCTTATCAATCATAAAACAAATGCTGGATAAGAGAGAGTAGGGGATATTTCTGAGCCAGACTGTAAACAATTAAGTGTAAGTGGAAAAGGGCAGAAGCTAAAGTAAGATGGGATTGAATTTGAAAGAGAACATAGTGACATAGACCACATCTAACGGCACAATGTTTTGTTGAGTTTTTCCCTGTACTGATTTCTCACTTGGTATTAATAGTTTTAAGATCAATTCAGTTTTATAATTATTTTTCTCTCTGGGTGAAAATCTAACCACCCAAATGAGAATAAATACTGAGCTACCATAAGCAATTAGCAGCAATCACAACAAAGCTGAGAATTTCCATCGCTGATAGAACACACCCTGGTGAGCCTGTCCTAGCCACTTTGACCCTCCTCTCTCTCAGCTTTTATACTGAGTAGAAGCTGCAGTGCGTGATTTAGTTCTTAATGAGCAGCTCCTCGAATCGTTCTCCCTCTGCTGCTTTGTACTGCTCATTGCTGCTTTGTCATGACTGGTTGAACTGTTACTGCTTCTGCTTTGAAGCTCAAACTATGATCACCAGCCCTGAGCACATACTAGAGATTCAGTGACTCCCAGGAGGCTGATCCAAGGGGTGACTCTGAGCACATCACCTTGGAAGTTGAAAAGGACCCAACAGGTGAGATAAATTGCTTTCAAAAATAAGATAATTATTACTACCATGTGGGAATAGCATTATTTTTATGTCTTAATATAGAAGATTTTAGAAAACTAAAATGTATTAGGCTAGAATAGAAGTTCCAGAATTACCCACAAATATTTGGTATCTGGTTAGGGTCTATAACCAGTAACCCTACTGATATCCTTACAAAATTCATTAGAATCATCATCTTCTATACACAGAAAGATCCTATACAAGAAAAGGCCGTGGAAGAAGAGTATTTGTTTAATAAATATGCTGACTCTAAAAGTAATTACATCAAAACACTTATGGGGCGTGGTTACTATTTCCAGATTTAAACTAAGGACTACATAAGAAAAGGCATCAGAGCTATGCATCTATTTGCAGGTTAGAATGAGCTTTCATTTTTTTTTATCCACTGAAGCTAAGGCTACACAAATGAACCTTAAAATAACACTAGGTGAATATATTCACACAAACTATGAGAATTCTGTTGAAACTCTCACTTTTCCATTTAAGATGAAAGGTAAGATTATTACAAGACCTGACACATTAACAAATAACATCTAATTAGTTTGATCATTCTTTGATTAAGCCTCCATTTTCCTTGCTTCCCATGCAGCAATTCAAATTACTCCGCATTATTTGTTCCCTTTCAGGCTATTTGAGAACAGCCCTGAAGCAATCTCAGTGGGTTACCTGTGGGGAATTTCTCTTGTCTGAGACCAGACCCACACCACTGATGGTGACAGGCTGGATCAGGAAGACACTTTGAGGTAAGTCCCTTCCCAGGGAAGGTATTGCCATGGAAACCAAAGCCTTGTCAGAAATCTGGAGGACAACTTTCTGAGGTGAGAAAAATGAAAGCTTAGACCTTCACTTGCTTTTCTTCTCTGGGCACAAAGCAAGAGAAGAAGACGTATGGACACTGTGCTGAAGGGAGAGAAGAAACCTCACTCCCAGCCTTTGCCCCTTTGTCCTGAAGCCAAATGAGAGAGCAGGAGGAACATCAGTGGGGCACCACCAGCTCAGAAGGGCTGGAATCTGTTTTTGTGTACATTCCAGCTATTTATAGTGACTACAATGATCAATGGATTGATTTAGACAAACATGACAATCTTAGATGGCTTCGCAGCTTCAAACAATCCGAAGGCAACTCGTGGGGGTGTGGCGAGCCCAAGGACTGTACACACCCATAATCAAATATTGGTTTTCTCTCATTTTTCCCTTTCTCTTTAGCCTTACTCTATATGCTGCCTGCAGTTTCCTAATGCATGCATCCAATGAGTTTTTGTTAATTCTGAGCTTCTCTCTCCAGAGATATCACCAGCAACTCCTGTGAAATCCATAGAGAGGCCTATTTGCAATGCTTAGCAACCTGTCATCTTTTTAAATAACAAGATTATTTCTACAAATGAACAAAGAGGCTGGCTGTGCTGGGATAAACATCAACTTTTTCACTGACATAAATATTGTACACCAAGAGCTTAATTCAACAACCATATCATGTTTCTGGCAAGGTAAGAGGCAGGGAGGATTTAAAGGCAAACGTTTCTTGAAGGTGTGTAAAAGGCAGAAAAAAACTTGCTAGAGAGAGAGATATAATAACATGTGATAATTAAATCAGAAAGATGAAGGACACAGTAGAAAAAGAAACCACAATTTTGGTGTATCCGAGAGACACCATGTCCATTAAGTAGGGCATATTATGCTTATACAAAGTGTAAATGTATGTGGATGTACATAATTTAACCTATTTCTTAACTCTGTAAAGTAACATCTGTTTATTCCATTTTATAGGTGAGGAAACTGGTTCAGGAAAGTCAATCAACTTGCTTTTCTTCATTTGAGTTTTTTCTTAATTTAAGTCCGTTTGTGGAAATAGCCATTCCACTTCATCTTTGCCTTTCTCCCTGTTCCATGGCTCCAACAATCTTCCCTTTTGTTTGCCTCTGAAATCTTTCTATAGTTCACTCAGTGAATATTGTGTCTGGGTAACCAGGGAACCCAAAGTTTTGGTTTTTAGTTTATAGCAGATTAAGAGGAAGGTCCGTACTCAAGGTTCCAGTCAGTCTGAGAAATAGGTGAACATTTCCACTCTTGAATTAAAAAACAATACATGTGGCATTCAGAAGATACATAAAGTGACTTAAATTGCAACAAACATAATGAACCCAAAGATGCCTTCCGAAAGAGTTCACTTTTAGATGAATATTGTATGTCTAAACTTCTTATAATGTTTCAGGTTCTTTTGGAGGTATATTTAAATTTTCTCTTATACCACTGTTGAATAGTGTTATTTATGGTACAGTCAGTGAGAATTTACTTTCATTGGAGACCAAAAACATTTCTTATCTGTAAAAATGTAAATGTGAATAGTGTTTCTTTCATTGTGTATATTCACCACATTTTAAAAACTCCATGTGTTAGTGTACTAAGTTACAATTAGTCAGGATAAATAAATTCTGATGTTCTATTGAGTAGAATGATTCTAGATAATGTATATTTTAAAAACTAGAAGAAAAGATTTTGAATGTTCTTACCACAAAGAATTAATAAAGCTTGAGGACCTAAAAATGCATATCCTAATTTGAATGATATACAATTTAACATGTATTGAAATATCACATGGTACACCAAAAATGTATAATTTTACATGTTAAGTAAAATGCATGTATAAAAAAGAAAATCTGATTTTATAGTACTAGTCAATGCATTCATTATATTACAAAAATTGTTATTTAGCCAATCACTTTAATTCAATTATATTAACATATTTTTGTTTCATTCTTCTTGTCCCTTCAAATCCAAGAATTAATGCCATAAAAATTATTTGAGGCACTTGGTATGATGTTATGTATCAAAAAATCACCTTTTAAGATTATGTAAACCAAATACAATTGCCAAATACAATTTTTTATAATCTTCCATAGTGCCACATGCATAGGCTTATGAAAAATATAAGCAGGTCTGTAACTATCGGTATTAATCATGTGATGTTTCTTTCAATTTAATAATCATAACAATACCAAAAAAATCCCTATTTTTTTTCTGAGTGTATTCTATGTGTCTTATGGCTAGCAATAAGCTCTACATAAATTCAGGTTGGAGTTCATGATGGTAAGTATGAAAGTGTGCATATCTTGTTTGCTGCATGAATATTTTGTTTTCTGCTGTATATGCAGAATCTGACATAGTTCCCAGAACTCAGAAGAAACTTAAACCAAATTTTTATGTATAGTACATGTACTGTGGAATACTTTGGAATGAGCCACAATATTGCGTTATAATTTATATCATTACCCATACTATATAAATAAAATAACCAAGGGTAGGAGATGTATGAGAGTCAAACAGGGCGGAATTTGTTTATGTGGCTCTAATAAAAAGTGTTTCTTTGCTCTTACACTTCTACTTGTCACAATCTGTAGATGGATTTCAATCATAAAGCAGAGCCAAAGCTCACAGAGCTGTGAAATGGAAATGCAGGTTGACCATTTATTTGACTCAGTGGTTCCAGGAATCCTACAGCAGCCTAATGTTGCAGTGGAGGAGACAGAGGCCTAAGAACATTGAGCAACTTGACAAAGTTATATTTTAAGCAAGTGGTGGGGCCTAGATTGGAGCCCATGCACTGAGTCTGTGCAGTCTGCTCTGACTCCTCTACATTTTCTGCACCAGACGGCTGTCTCTGAAGAATAAAAATGAGAGAAAACCAAGTAACAACAAACTCAGCCCCAGAAGGAAAAGAAGGTTTACTTCTGTTAGGTTATGAACAGGTACAGTCCTAGCGCTTGCCTTACTGTCCTGCTTTTCACAGATTTTTCCTCACATGTTGGTTCTTATTTAAGTAGAGACCTTAATGAAGTTCCTACCCTTAAACTACGAAGGCAGTTGGTGGTATTTGGGTTACATGATTAATTTCTTAAGTCACCTATGTATAGTTCCCATCACCAATCCATGAATAATGGTTTCCTAAAGTTTGTCCTTCCTTTCTTCAAAGTTATCTTTTAGAAGAATCAGCATTAGCCATAGTCCAAAATTCTCCTCCCCTTGCCAATTCCACAAGCAGAAGCGCTGATCACCATGGGATCTGGGAGGTGCTGCCTTTCCATCATTGTTCAACTTATACCTTCCACAGATTGTTTTCCATGCCAAATATCAATTATGCCTGGGCCAGGGATTTAGCTCAATGGCCTAGTGCCTGCCTGGCAACTGTGAGGTCCTGAGTTCCATCCCCGGTATGAAACAAAAAGATCACTTCTGATTTTCTGATATTTCCCAGTCTTAGTTCTTTGGCTCTGACATCCTTACTGAATTATAAACACATCAATTTCATATCCACTTTTGTGACCAGTTCATTTTCTCTCACACTCATAAGCAAACAAAGTGAGTGCTCTGTACTCCAAGGAAGTGAGACAAATGTTACTTATCACTCAAGTTCTGTAGAGCCATACCACCTTCCCTGATAGCAGGAATCACCCATGCAACTCATCTGAAACTTGTACCCCGTGGAGTCTGTAGTGTGCAGTCTGACTCCTACATTTGAAACTTTCCATTATCCATGAGCACGCAGAAGTTATACACTTACAAGTGTTCAGATTTATTTTCCTTACCCTGCTGGCCACTGCATCTCTACCTCTGACTTTTCATCAAAATTCTCCACTTGGTTATCTAGCTTCTTACAGCAAGATTGATATGAGAATTAAATGAGATACAGTACTTGAAAATACTGTAATGACCCGTAGTACTGAGCAGGTGCTACACAACTGATGTTTGGGTCAGAAGCCCCCAGACTCCCCTTGAGCATCTCGCTCCCTTCGGTGCCTTCAGGGACAGGAGAAAGCTCGAAACTCCCCGCTTCCCCAGTCCTCTCCATTCTTCTCAGCTCCGACTTCACTCTACTTCAGCACTTCCAACTCATGGCATTCTTTTGGTTTTTCAGTCCAACGAACTCCAATAACCTTTCCTTCTCTTCTGGTGTGTACAAATCCCCTGATTTTACCTCTATAATATCCCTAAAATCATCCTTTTCTTTCCATCCAGTTGTCTAAGTCCAAGCTTCTCCTTCTCTTCCCCAAACCCTTCTGCACCTCCATTCCCTTCAAACCATCTTACACAGAAATTCCAATTATTTCTCTTTTTTAGCTTCCCTGAGTGCCAATCAAAGTGAACTCCTTTCAGTTCCCTAAAAGGTGTGATCAAAACATAGTGTTTAAGTTTAAACATTACAGTAAAAATACATTGTTATTAATGTCCCTCAAAATATCCCATCTCGCTTTGAATCATTCTTGCCACTTTCTGAAGCATGTCTGGAAATGCTTTTTCAGGACTGGCTTCAGTTGCACTGCCATGGCTGCCTCGATGTCCTGAGTCATTCAAAACATTTACTTTTATGGCCATTTAGACTTTGGAGAAGAGCCTGAAGTCCCACAGTGTTTGAGCCACGAGTAAGGTAGATAAGAACACATGTAAGGTTTTTATGATCCTGTCTTTATTGCATGGCAATCAGTATCAGCACTCACCACATTTTTTATCATACCTGCTATAGACACTCAGGAAAGAGGACTTCCAGAACTGCTTCAGAAAGTGGTGAGAATGATGAGATAAGAGTGTTCAAAATAAGGGGTCATATTTGAAGAGGATTAATGGCATTGGGTCTTTGTAATACAATTTTTAACAAATATCCCCTATAATTTTCAACCACTCTGTGCATGTCTGGATGATAGACCTGGTCTTAATCCTAAGGATTTAGAAAAAGATTGCCCTGGCCTTGAGTCTTTTGCTTGCCACCTTGGGAGGCCAGGACAAATCACTTCAACTCATCACACCTCAATTATTTCATCTATAAGTACAATAATATAGACTCATCAGGGCTTTATTCCTATTACACAGGATATTCCAAAAATAGAGCAGAGAGTAAATTTTCAACACTTGGTAATGACAAAGGAACAGTACAAGATGTGATTCTGGGTCTTAATATCACTTCAAGCTCGTATGCTATTTTTTCTCAATTCCACATAGACATACCCAACCATTGTCTGAAGGCCCATGTTAAATTTTAAGTATTCAGTAAGATCTTCTTTGATATTCACTGATAAATGATAAGTATGCCACTGATAGAAATAATTATAAGTATAACATTGATAGAAAGAATGTCATTATGCAGTTAACTTTTATAATACAAGAGAAAGCAGAAAATGAGGGAATATGTGTACACTACTTCATTTATTATTTAAACCTTAAAAAGTAAAATTTATAAAGAAATTGAGATTCAAAAAAAGTCAAACAAGCACAGGATAAACCCTGGCAGGTGTGGTCTGCCAAGTTCACAGTGCCTTCCTCAGTTCTCAATATGTTAACAAGGTCCATTGGTTTTGTCAAGGATTTATTATTTATTTTTGCAGCTATTTTAACTATTTGTAAAGACAATACTTCTTGACTTGTTATTTTTTTCCTTATATGTCTTCTAAGGAACAAAATCAATTTACTTACTTTTAAAAAGGAGCAAAATCCATTATATCTTGTAATCATCTTGTGGCACCAGTGGAGAATTTCAAAGATTCAAGGCACATAATGGCGTCTTGATGATGATACATATTGAGCATTTTCCAAAGTTCATCAACTTGGGAGTTATTTTGTCATTGTTTGTTAATTTTTCCCAATAAGAACTAAGACCAAGATAATAAGAAGCCATTCTAATGATGGGGTTGAATGGAAGAAAGGTGCAGTAGTAAAATGCTTCTCACCCTGCTCTCTTCACACAGGTTTCTTACTGTCCATGCTAAAGTGCTGCATCACCACTTACGGAAGATGGAAATGAAAGATAGAGACCACTGTTTTACTCTCTTTTTAGTTTTCAACTCAGAATTTGATTTTTCATCCATAACTGACCCCCAAAAAGTGACAGAGGAAGATACTACACAATTATTAGGTGAATCAAAAAATGAATGCAAAGAGACAGATAGCAACAGGCTAGAGTCTAATGATCAGGCTGAAACTGAAATTGATTCTACAACTGAAATTTCAGCTTGAGTCTTCAGATGACAATGAATTTTCTCAAACCCAAAAATCAATGAATAAATGATACGTTTAAAAAGGTAAAACAAAAATATGGCATTTTAATGCAGTTAGCTCTGTAGCAAGGCAGATTTCATCATGCTATATTTTGTGACAAGAGCTTGAGCCATCCCATTCTGCTAAGAGAGCATGTTAGAATAGTCTTCCATTCTGAAATCTATTAGCCAAAATTTATGGTTTTTAAGGACACAAATATTAAAGAAAGGTAAAAGCAGGTATTGGGAGGAAATATACAACATGTACATCACAGAACTGGATTAAATTTTTCATTCTAATTTTTAAATACAAAAATGAAAATATTTTGTTAATTTATAAAGAAGATGATGGCATTTTCTTTTCAACAAAATACTTGTCATCAGCGATTTTAAAACTACAGCTATTGCATTAGATAGATACATAGATGATAGATAGATAGATAGATAGATACATAGATACATAGATAGAACTGGTGAAAACAGGGACTATATGGAATAAACATTTAGTTTCGCTATGCTTTAATTCTCATCAAATTTTTCACTATCATTTTACTCTGATTTGAGTAAACTATAAAATGATTTTAAATATTTTAAAATAATTTTAAGGACCACATTGTAAGTAGCAATATCCATTCCTGGTATACTGAAATTAACAGTGCGGTTTCTCAGTCTCCACTGCATGATTATCCAGCTATCATTACTTGTGCAATTATTTGTCTTATCTCTCCACTAGCAGCTGGCTAAGGTAACTCAACAAATACTCTTTTCATTAAACACAGTAACTTCCAAAGCTTTTGTTGTATAAAAATAATTAGATGTTTGGTGGAATTAAAGTGAAGCTTTTCATAGACAATTGCCTACCTTGGAGCATGATATTTTGGAAAAGGATAAAGAAAGGCTGAATTTTACCTGATCTTCTCTAATGCTGCAAGGTGAAATATATTAGATTAAACCATTATATAACAATGACTATACTGCAATTACATTTTGCCTCTCCTGAGCAAGATCATGCCAGAAATGCAGTTAAGTATCACTAAAGTTTAAAAAGAGGATCTTAATAAAATGACACTCACTCCTCACTGTTTTTTCTAGCTGTGGACTTAAAACCCACTGAATTGGAATACAGGCTGCCAAAGAATACCTTATTACAGTCAGAAGAGATTTTGCTAGGGAAGTACCCTCCATTTTAGGAAAATAAATGACACAGAAAGTGGAATAAATTACTGTGACATGAATGTGTGGTTCAAGTAAAATCAGACCATTACAGAACTGTAAGGGTGGGAGACCTTCTAAGGGATAAACTTTAACTTATATTAAAATTCAATCATAAGAGTTACAAAGATGAAAGCTGGGGAAAAAAGTGTTAAAATTACTAACCCAGAGCACACTATCCCTGACCCCAGCCCTGAACATTTAAGTCGGTTTCATTACCTATAGTGGATATAAGGGCACCGGTTTGTAGTGTAATCACTCATAAAAATCTGTCTCTCCTTTAACTTGGCTTACACTGTGCAGAAGTTCATGCAATTCATTAGTCCAGGGAGAAGGTGATGAAGGGGGAGCATAGATCTGACATGCAAGATTATGGCATTTCTTTTCAACCATATGACTGATATGACTGAAACTATCGGTGTAATTTAAGATTATTGCTTGAGAAAAAGGTGCTTTGGCCGGGGATTTAGCTCAGTGGTTTCGCCCCCTGCTGTGCAAGTGCAAGGACCCGAGTTCGGTCCCAGGTACCAAAAAAAAAAGAAAAAGGTGCTTAGCCATAAAATACTGAAGAGGAAATTGGAATTGCTAGGAGATTGATATAAATAAATGTCAAGAATTTTACTTTGACCCTCTGTACAATCACTTTCAAACAAAACACAGCACCCTAAATTGAGTCTCAGTTTTGTAAATAATATCTCTATTGACCAGTATTAGTTTTCTCCTAAGGAAATGACAAGTAGACAATCCAGTCCCTAAGGGAAAAAGTAGGGTTATCAGCTCTAGAATAGCCACCGTAGGACAGGATCTGCCCCACCCCGTCCAGTACGGGCTATTTGAAACATGATCTACAGCATCCACAAACTCCATCAAGGGGTCTCATGAGAGATTGTTTGGGCATAAAGGAGCAAACAGGATAGTATTTTCTTTCTTTCTCTCTCTCTCTCTTTTTTTTTTTTGTGGTACCGGGATCGAACTCAGGACCTTGTGCTTGTGAGGCAGGCGTGGTGCCACTGAGCTAAATTCCAGGCCAGAATAGTAGAAATATTTCTATAGAGAGAACTTCAGTGTCCACAGTATTTCTTTAAAAATTGTTTTAGTATAGATATATGTCTTCCCTAGCTGCCTATAGAGACAGGCTTGATAACATATATTCACTTTGCAGATTTAAATGGAAGTTTCTTATTACTGCAATTTAATGAAAAGTAAGGAAGTACCAGAGAATGTTAATTAGATATAACAAAATGATCTAATTCTTATAATTATACGTATTAAGGTGATGTCTATAATTGAGTGTGGATTGTCAATGACCATTGAGTATTGCATTTTCTTTATCAGAGAGAGCAGTTCAATTCATCTTTGGGTATATAGATTAAATGTTAGCTAAAACTTAATGGTATCTTAGAAGTATTTTATGCTCCAATTGAGCTACATTTGGGCCACTTCTGAGAGTGTGACAATTCTCTACAAAGGAATTACTGAATCCCACAGGGAAAAATCATTTCTAGTTTTAAAAACTCATTACCAATAATTAATAATGAACTCCATCTAAACAATAACAGGTGTTCCACTAATCCCCAATAGAAGCAGATGGAAGCACAAATGTTTTATAAATAGTGGAAACATGCAGAGCAATAAACTTGGCAGGGATTGTTTTATTCTCTAATTGTGAGTCAGAGTCAATGTCTTATCATTCACATTTTCTCTAGATTAACATTTCCAGCTTAAATCTGTGTTTTTCACTTCTTATTTTTGGAACTGCACATCATATTTGGTGCTTTGTCATTCCACTTTATGTATTGCCCCACTGACAAGAATAGTACTTGGGAACTTTCCTTTGGTACATTTAGGAAACATCCTCCCTTGCAACCTGTGGACAAGCAATGCTGGTGTAAATATAGTTTCATCTCTTAAACTTTCAAAATAATGGATGTAGATGGATGCAATAAATGAAGGGAAGTGATAAATCAATACTTGGTATGAAGTCATTTAACTTCATATAACTCAGAATTATTTTCAGGAGTTGAAGTACTCTATAGACCTGTAGATTTTATCCACACATATTTCTCAGGTGTTAGGGATCAAACCCAGGGCCTTGAACATGCTAGGCAATGCTTTACCACTGAGTCAAACTCCCAGCTCTAAATCTATGATTTTTAGAGTATATTCTCATCTGTCTTGAGAAGGGTTCTGTATTTTGCCATTAGCAAAATCCTCCATAATTCCTGCACAGATGGTTTTATTCTTCTTGGTTTTCAGCTCTTTGATTTTTCAGACAAAACTGATTGGTAATTGTGACTGTTAAACAGCTCATATCCTAAACTGGATTTAACACTGCATAGTGCTCTTCATCCTGATTTTGTTAGGAGGTATATTTTATAAACAATAACTAAATTCTATGAATAATTGCAGTGGCACAAACAACACATTCTTTTCCTTAAATATGAAATTTAAATGCTAATAGAATATAAATAAAACAATGTTTATTAGTCATTAATTAATTCATGCTCATTGGTAATGTATATTCAAATTCCACATCAGTTAGTTGATCTTAAAAAATAAAAAATATGTATAGAGTATACCTTTCTTAAACTACCACAGCCAAACAAAATGGACAACAAACGTTTGATTACATGGAATTTGTGGTGCATATGGACCACAGCTCATTAACGTTGTTTCCTTCACCTGAGCCACTCACTCAGCCAGATCACTGTGAAAGCCATAAATTAAAAATAAATCTATAATGACACTTTGTCGTATACCTATTAGACGCTTTATCAACAATGCCAGGCTTTTACTGTGATCCCCATTTTAAATGTAACTTCTTGCGGATGATTGGAGCTTGGTGATTTGCTCAAGGTCTCGTGTTAGAAAAAGATGTAGTTAAGAATCATATCTGCATTTGTATTCAATGCTCTTTATTTTCTATTATATCACTGTCTTCCACAGTTCCTGCATGTAATTTTGCTATGTCGCTATACATAAATACGGAGAGTAACCAATTCCATCAGGTAAGATACCATAATTTCAAGTTTATTTTATTCATTTCTACTTCCAACTCATTAAAGATGCAGTAGAAAAAAGGGAAGAACACGGAAGGTAGCAGGAGAAGAGGAGGAAAAAGAAGAGGAGAAGGAAGAGGAAACTATCTGGTAGAATAAGTTACTGACATTAAGATTTCCAGAGAGCTAAGTTTCTGGTGATATTCTAAATTTGTAGGGTCTAGATGTATCATATATTTGTTTCCAATATGATCTTCCTGTTTGTCAGTATATACACAAATTATAATTACATCTTTTAGAAGGACTTCCAAATGACAGTTAAGAAAACAAGATATAATTTTCCATAAATAATAAGCTTCCATTATTCTAAGGTAAATCATCTTTCTAAAAACACTTTCCCAAATATGGATATGAGTTCCTTCGGTTTTTTAACTGCAAGAGGCACAGTGCAAGCAATCAGGTTAATTGCTTAGCTATAGTGCTTTAACTAGGAGACCCTCCCATTGTGCTGACTCTCATCACTAGTGCTCTGGTTCATATGCAGCTGAGAAACTTTGAAAGCTTTGGGAAATGGATATTAAGTATTTGAAATGTGATAGATTTAAATATGAATTTTGTTCACTACTCAGATGAGAAGTGTACTTCCATTGTCCTGGGTCTTTTTCTTGAGTTTCACAGGAATAAAATAAGATGATTTATTGCTTTGCTCCAAGATATTATTAAAGATATTAGCATTTTTACATATAAAGATATTAGCATGTTGTGGCTTTTGGCTGACTTCATTTGCAATAGGTCATGCAGTGACTGAAAGTAAAATTAAAGGCCTTCATGCCAGTTATTATTTCTGCTTTTTATTGGCTTTACTCTACATCTACACATGCATTATGCAATTTTTCAAAATAAAAATACCATTTAGTACATAGAAAAAGCCAACAAAGACAGACAATTACAAGAATTGTTTGCAATACCTGGTTTTAAATCCCCATGGACAAACATGTCAATCATATATCGACAGAATGCATACTGATCTGACAGAGTAGAAAGAAAAAAAAAAACAATGAAAAAATGTCATCAACAGTTTTCTTTTTCCTATATTATGAAATGGTTTAACAGAACACTCAAACTAGCACAATTATACTTTGGCTACTACATATTTTCTGTGAAGTAATAATTTGCACTCACATGAACATATTGGGGGAAAAGACACAATAGATTTAATGCTTCAATTATTCCATACAAAAGTAAACTTAAGTGTTGAAACAGACTAGCCCAGGGTAAGATTATCATGGCTGATTTTAAAAGTCAGAACATTTTTTAATCAAATTTGCTACAAAAGTCAACATATTAAAACAATTATTTTCATCTGTCTCTTTGTGGACTTATAAAAATGAAACAGAAGTTTTACAAAGGAAAATTGTTTTCAACTTGGAAGATTTTTCCACATGTTCACTTCTAGCTCCTCTACTGCAGAATGTTTTCCAAAAGACCTTCGGAGGGGCAAACCCTTCCACACTCTGTTTGGAAATGCATAGGAATGCATCTAATTGGAAGAGTGAATCAGGGAAAACAGACTAACAAATTATAGTAGTAATTATATTATATGACATTATATTACTATATTATAGTAGCAAATTATATCATTGGTAAGCTAATTAACAGTAATCTTTATAGGATCATTTTATGATTTTGACTAGTCTGTGGCTCATGGGAAAAAATTTTAAAGCAAAACATAGTCTGTAATAAACATTTTGGGCAGGCACTGTCAAAACGAATATCAAGAGTTGGATTATTTTTCCTTTAAATTAAAGACCTTGCACTGAACTTTAAATTCTCACAAAACTTGAGACTTTACTGTAAACTCCATTGAAAAAGATTCTACTGATAAAGATTCTTAGGATAGTCTCTTAAATTTTACATATCTTACATTGTTATTTATATTTTCACATTCCTAAAATAGACATCTTATTAATGCACCAAATCCAGAAGCATCTTTAGGACCAAAAAGTTTATTTATTTTACACAACATGACACAATTTAATTGCTTCAAAATATGTAAATCAAACAAGAAATAACAATACTTGCTACTATATAAATACACATTCAAGGATTTTTGTAAGCCTCGTTCTTTTTAGAACATTAGCATTATTTTTAATCAGTTTTATTATGAAATTATGCCAGATAGTTGGAAAAACAAATGTAATTATTGCAATAGACTTAAAAAATACCATTTTCATTACATCTAAATGTGAATAAGACAAAACCCATAAGCTCTCAAAATGTATATGTGTTTTGATTGCTGAAATAGAACATATTTTCCCACACGTGAGTTGGGCAGTGAGTGGAATTCTCCTTCACAGATGAGTCCACGGGTCTCCTCACCTTTTTGTGTATTGACAGTTAGAGCTGTAGTTTCAGATCCAAGGACCTGAGTATGCTGAGGTGTGGGAGAAAAGTAAGACTAATGTAGGTGGTATTTTTTCTTTGCTGGATAAAATTTTCCTTTAGAGTGGGTGCTTTTGTTCTAAGACAAAACAAGATGAAAAGGACATTATTCTTAAATGGAAAATGAAATTGGACCAGTGTGAACTTTCACCTTTTCCTCTTTGTCTCAGTACCATAAGTCAGTGTACTTTCAGGTTTGTCCTTCATGTAACTCATGAGTACTTTGTAAGTGGTAACTGAACGTTGGAAATGGAGGGTACATCAAGTTACAGGTATCTGGAATCCATCATGCAGGAAATTATAACACTATGGATCTGGGCACATTTTTAACAGACTGTCTGGTGTGCCCAATTCCAGTACATGTGTAGAATCACTGTAGGTGATGGTGTAGACCCCTTCATTATTTTCAACAATGATTTCCAGTAACACTGGAGCCTTCTGGCGCAGTGAATGAGGCCTTTTGTTTTTATGTCTGAAATTCAGAATTCAGTGATCACTTATAATACAAAGATTTTGTACAAATCCTCAAATAAAATATTGCTCTATGCCCCAGTTGTGAAGGGATGATATAATGGATGAAATGCTGAACAGAATTCTGAATTAAGTAAAATCACACTTCTGTTTCCACTTCAATTAAATATTCAAATGTAATGAAACCTTTAAACTTAGGAGGAATTTTTACTAAAGGATTTTGCTTGTGTTTATTATACCAATAATGTATGGTTCCAAAAATCATTCATTTAATGAGTGCATCAACAGTCCAATTGAACATTTAACTTATAAAGGAAGTCTGTGTGAATTCCAAGAACTTATTTCTTTCAATCTAGAAAAAACAGTTACAATACTTAAAAGGATTTGGTTCTGGTAAGTAATCCTATAATCTTGCATAATAATGTCACCAAGATATCTGAGAAGAATATTCAGAAATATTTTCAATTAAGAAAGTTGACATATTTGGGGTTAGGACACCCATTTCCAGCGGTGATCAGGGTGTAACGTAACAATGTGTCAACACTTAGAGGAAGGTAGGGCAGTCTCCAGAGTTTGCTTCACCTGCCGAAAGGGGAACGAAACCAAGCCTTCCTGATTTTGGAAGATCTGTTTTCTAGAAATGCTTCTTTAAATCCACCTCAAATGATATAGCAGGAGAGTTTTCTAAAGAAGCCTGAATTACCCTGTTAGTCTTTCATAGGGGACAATAATGTGAATGAGGTAATTGCATATGTTGTCATCACTTTCAAGTATTTTTTTCCCTAAATACACTCTCTTCTCAGGACAATCCACACTATGTCTCCCTTTCTTGATCCTCAGGGTGCGGGGACAGATGTCACTCCGCTGCTGCTGTGTTTGTGCTCGCTGCGGAGGCGCAGCTTAGGGAAGCGCATTCTGGGTCCAGAGCGTGAACAGGAAGGAATTTTAAAGAATAACTGCTACTGAAGATGGGGTACGTGTGGTCTGGTGCTCTACGGAGGATTCTCACTAGCTATACTTTCTCTCCTTGTCACAACAGTATAAATAGGCGTTAAGGTGACCAAAGAAAGAAAGACAAAAACGAACAATGTGTGTACGGCCGTGAGACTGTCTTTTTCCTCCTCCACAGAATTTCCAGAAAATACCAAGGAGGCGGGAGCATCGTCTGTTCATGCCAATGCTTCCGACCACCCCCAAAATAGATGTGAACTGGTCCTGGTCCGTCTATAGTTGATCACGTGATATATTAGTGTGTGTGGGTTTATGGTAGGATGCACAGACATATGCATCTTATTCTCAGTGCTGAGTATGTCTAATTAAATAATGATCAATCCGCATGTCTCAGTGTCTCAGGTAGGTTTACAAGTGAGTGAAAGACCTACGAAACCTATTGGTTTAGGCGAACTATTTACCAGTCTACAAGAAGAGACTCCCTCAGCCTCACTAGATCTGTGCAAGTAAATGTCTCCTTGACCAAAGAACTAACCCGATTTTACTAAGTCATTAATGGCAAAAGTCTCAAGCTCAAAACCACCTCACACCTTTTTAAAACACCATCACTTTACCTTGCTCATATAAAATATATGATTATTTTTAAAATTAACAAATGCTCTTAAATCGTTTCTTAGAAAAAATTAATATGTATCTGTCTGACCAACCACTATTGATTAAGTACTTGTGATCTAACCTAATGGCACACTGACTTAACTGAGTAGCTCTTCTTAACTGGGAGCTTTGCTTTAACAAAAGCATTTGCTTAGCTGATAAAATCGTATTTATTCATTTATTTATAACTGTGACATTTGAATATCTTTTTAGTAGATAAATAGATTTTCATGTAGAAATAAAAACAAAATTAAAAGTGGAATGGTAATATAATGTTATCACTAATAGATCTGATTTCTGATAGGAGTAAAATATAGTATCTGTGATTTGGAAAATAAGTATTATTTGAAAATATCCTGGTGATATGCCTTCATCAATAAAATTTGTCCTATAAGCCTTGAATATACTAATGATAAACATCCAAAACTATGTTTATGTTCCTAGTTACTGCATAAATATTTGATATTCCTATATATAACTGGCACACATTGTATAGGCTATATTTGGAGATAAAAAATTAAAATATATTTGGTGTGTTTTAACTGTTTTCATGTGATTATTCTTTTTCTTTAAAGGGCAATCTAAAATACAAAGTACTTTATGATCTAAATAAACATAATAGTGAATCATCAGAGTAATTTTCCTATTTTCTATCAGAATAAAATATTCAACTGAAAATAATTTTAATTTACTTATTATATCCTTCTTCTATACAAAACTATGTCCAAATAGGACATACTTTAAAAAGAGATAACTAATTCTTAAAATTTTTTCAAGACTGTATAATCATTTTGAAAATGGAAGAAAAGCTTAATATTATAAAGTTTGAATTCACTCATAAAATGTTAGGTTGAAATAAATGCAAATTACCTAAATTAAAGTTTGTAAATCACCAAAAGGAAAAAAAAAACCTCTTTGTTCTTTTCTTCCTTCTCTTTTAGAATATATTTTTAAAATATCTATCTTTTGTCATATGAATCAAAGTTTATAATATTACTGTGTATCAAGGTTTACAAATATTAATTTTGGAGAAAAGATAAAAATACAAAGAAATAATAAAATACAAAAGAGTAGATTGCAAATTTTATATCCTGTACCTTACAATGAAGAAAATTGTCAGTTTCACTGCTCATATGGCTGACTCAATAAGGTATTAAAAATTTTTAATGTAAAATCTCATCGAAGCCAATTGTTTGACTTCAGCCTTCTGATAAAATGATTCAATTGCTACCAGAGTTAGAGAGAATTTTATTCTGCAACAGCTTTACAAAATGTTATTTACAGGAGCTGAGCACACAATTAGATGCCACATCCTAGGCAGATGGTTGCGGGGTGTGTCTACCCCAGAATTGGGGTGGCCTTAGGGAAGGAGAACACAGGCAGTGGGGCAAAGCCCTTCAGTGGCCCCTTACCACACCCCTCATATCTCTGTAGCACTTTCCATGGTTTCTGTTCCATGTCCATCTCAACGCCATCTTCCGGACATTGGGGAAACAAGTTTGACATCACTCTGTGGAGGGGGAGCACGTGTCACATGAAGGGCTCTGAAGTCACCTATTTTGTCAATGAAAACTGTCAGAGAAACTTGAAGTTCTTTTTTCAATAACTTGTTATTAAATTGAACGAATTTTAATTTGTAGTAAGAATGTTATTAAATTAAATGAATTTTAATTTGTAGTAAGAATGTTATTAAATTAACTTAATAATTTGATGTGTGTTCTAAATAATAGGCTCCTGCAGAGACATAATGAAGGTATACAAGATTTTTCGGGATATTATTCACTATGATTTGAACATAGACTCCTCAACAAACACCCTGAAATTGCTGTCATCTTTCTGGACTTTCTGGCTTTTGTTTCAACAGCATGACACACCTGATGGTTTGCTTGTGATTTCAACTCTTCGGAATAACTCTTTCTCAAGAATTCAGCCTCTAACACCAACATTTCAGTAACTCCAGATGCTAATTCAAAGCCCACTTTAAATATACTTCAAAATAAATTTTTACCTTTGTGAACACATTTTAGTATTTCTATAAATAAATATTAATTCCCAACTGATTGCACTTCCGGTGAGACATATTTACTCATATAGCTCTGTGACCTCTGTTTGAAGTCCAATTTGGTCTTTTTCAGGTTTTAATTTCACTGCATCTGCTTCCTGCCCAATACTCTCTTAGCACCTCTGGCTGTCTCCTCCTGAGGGCGTTTACCTTTCTGTTCATGTTCCAATGCAGCTGCAGGCTCTCTGCCATCCTTCTCCTTGGGTTTCGGTGGTGTTTTCTGCACTTCTTTTACCTTTGCTGCTGCTTGCTTCACCTTCTCTTTTTTCCCACCTTTCACTTCCTTTTTCACCTTTTCTTTGGTCTTCTCTTTAGTCTTAGCTTTCTTCTCATCTGTACAGAGTTAAGAAATATTGGTTGCTTCTCTTTACTACATATTTCTTCTATAATTTTCCTTAAACACAATTTTAAAAATAGGAAAGAAAAAACAACAGAAAACTAGTGCCCATGAGATAAATGATCAGTTTCTTGTAGTTATGAAATACTGTGTTAGACTTAGCCCTCATCTGCTAAATATAGTTTCTTTCTTATTTTTCATCTATTTTTTAAGCTTTTTATTGGTATATGTGTGTGATACATACTACTTACATCATCCCAGGGAACTAAGACGGTGTACAAATTGCAACTTTTTCATTTTACTTCCCCTCTCTTCCTTTCCCATCTCCACAAACCTGCCTTCCTCTTTCTTAATTTGTACATGAGAACATTGTTTTTTGTTTGATGTTTTTAATTTATAGGTAATCAGACACTAAGCCTGGCACCAAAGAGACTTCTGTAAGATGCAAAGGCTATGCGCACAGGCATGCTCATGGGACAGATGTCCATACTGGAGAGCCCGCTGAAAGAGGCTCCTTTTGAAGGAATAACCACGTGGTCCCATTTGTAACGATTAGATCCCACTGGAGACCTACTAGTGCTGCAATCTCCCATGAAATTTGCCATTACAGTGGGTACCTTTTATTGAGATTTATGTTAAAGGATTTGATTAAAATAATATGGTCCAATTTCTTGAGTTTAGTGGAGATTAGGCCAAGAAAACATTGGGATGGGCCATAGAGAGAAGAAGAAAGACCATGTTGGATCCCAACAGCCCTGCAAGACCAGAATTAAACCGACTGGGCCAACATACCAGTACTGGAGTCTGTCAGGAGAGGTGCTACTGCATGTGGGTCAGAAGTTACTCTTATGATGAAATAAAATTTGAGACACAACCAGTTTCTTTGCTAAAGTATTTCTCAAAGATATGGTGTGTTTGAGAGTATGCAAGGAGGAGAATTATGCTGCATACACTGTGAAGTTATTCGGTCATAGACATCTCATACGACTATCACCCATCTCATAAACTTCCAACAAAGTCTGTGACTATACTGCAGGGATTTTCTTCTACTGCTTATAAACCATTTCTGAATCTCCTTTCCTTATTTCTGCCCTTGCTACATCAAACTCTTAACATTTCTGTGACTGAAAAAGAATCAGCTTTCTGAAGATGATTCTGGTTGACATCTTTCAGAACCCTGCAGTGAGGTGTTTGTAATTGTCCATATGGAGAGGAAGTTCCACTGGGATGGCAAGGAGCATCTCAAATCATACAACTTATACATGTGTATCCCAGAAAGACCCATCTCAAAGAAGCTACTTGGTTTAGTCTCATAGTTAAAGATAAAAAAATAACAATAACCCTCTGAATTAATGTCAGTGTAGCACTGAAAACCCTGCAATGCTGGTTTCATCTCATCTCTCCTTTGAGAGTCTTTCCCAAAGTTTCTCCACTATGTGACACCCTGATTCCAGAACATCTGGGATATTTTCTATGTATCAATCAATGTCAGGTGGCAAGTTCTACATTCTCTAACTTTTCGATATATCTAAATTCCGTAATATTCAATTCTCATGCAAAAAAATGCCTCTGCCACTGGAATGAATCTTTCCTTTCCCCTCAGCTTTCATCGGCCTTAACTTTTATAAAAGTTGGCATTTTATTTTCTACTGTATATCTAAATCTATAGATCACTGTTTATCTATCTGTCTTCCCTACCAGACTCTAAGCGACTTGCAAATAAGAATTCTATTCCTCCTTTTTGTATCACCATTGTGTCTAGCACAGAATAAGTATACAAAATTTAAGCAATTTTGATCAAAGAGAGTAAAGTTTTCCCTATACTCAGTTCAGGTGTATAGTAATATATAGATTGCATATGTAAATAGAAATGTTTTGAATGAATTTGTCAACTCTGACACATGTACCAGGGTAGACTAGAAGAGGCTCACTATTCTGCAGGGTGAAGTTCTGAGAGGGTCTAGCCACTACTGCCCTGGGCAGATGTGGTTGAAACAGAGCAAGAAACTATCAGTGAATAATAGTGTGTGGCCAAGGTGACTAGGTGAGAGATCCATGAGTGGTCCACATAAGACCCTGATTTCCATCCCACCTGCTTCTTCTCTCCTTTGGTAGATGGAATGAAGCCTGTTATTATGTCAAGGAGACTCATGGAGCCAGAGGTGAGGCCTCATCCACACAGCTGTTGAGAAAGCCATGCGAATGACCTTGGAAGTGGTCTTTCCGCGGTTGAGCTTTCAAATAATACCGCAGCCCTGGGTAACAGCGTGGCTGAAGTTTGGAGAGAGATTGTGAAGCAGAGGACTGAACTGATTATACTCAGGTTTTGACTCACAGCCACTGCCAGGTGTAATGATGCTGATCTAAGCCTCAAAGTCTGTGGTAATAGTGATAAATAACTAAGGCAATATTCCATACATACTCACTGAATGAACAAATGATGCTCGAAGCCTTATTTATCTCTGAAAAAAATACTTGATGTACATGTAGGTCATCTGGTTTTTTAAATTGTAGTCCAATTATGTACTAGTTATATGACCATGCCAATTTCTTTGTTTTTCTTGGGTTCAGATATTTCATCTGTTGAATTTGGTAATTAATTTATACAATTGATAAAATCCCTAAAATTTCATATGTATATGTATTCACAAAAATTTGTGTTCACATTTGTGCAATAGAAGATACTCAGATAGAATAAAATTGCATTGATTTAGGTATAAATTTAATCTTGTGATGAAATTCATGTTTACTTCCCCAAAAGCCTCATTTTATAATTCATCCATTTTAACTTCAATAAAATATTTGGTTATCTTGTGGTAAAATTTCATTTAAAATACATCTGCTTCAAATGTCTAATTATTTTATATTTTGTGACTAATCATTGAATTTTCAAAATTGTTTGAACATGCTGGGTTAAAATAGCTAAAGTATACTTATCATATACAACATACACTTTAAAATATGAGGAACATATTTAAATTTAGAGGATAAGATGGTATTATCAGTTAAAATCCATACATTCCTATCATTTAATAATTGGCAGATAAAAGTATGATAGAAAAATCAGTTTTACTCAGTTTTTCAAAATATATAGTATTATAATGATGTTCTAAGTGATTGGGGTTGGAGGTAGAGGACATATTATGAAGATTTTTTTGTGTTAGACATATTAAAATAATGATCAAGATATATCTGCAAAAGAATTTCTGAATTCGAAACTCCAAAACTCAAATGCAATTTGCAATCATGATCAAAAACTAAGAATCAGAGGTTTGTTTCCTCTTGCTATGATAACACATTATCATAACCTTGGCTGCCTGAAACAATACTCATTTATTTTCTCCAAGTTTCTAAGATTCAAAAGTGCTGGTTCAGTGGGATTCAACCCGGCCCTCTGCTGAGGGTTCACAAGGTAAAAGCAAGCTGATAAGCTGCATTTCTCAGGGGCTCTGCAGAAGAATCCATTTCCAAGCTTCCTCAACATGGATGTAAGATTCATTTCTTCCTCGTGTTCCATGTTGCCCCTGAATTTTTATGCAGGTCAAGTCCACTTCAGACCTTTCTTTTCTGTTGACTATTTTTAAACACTGTGTAATGGTACATGAAGCCCACCTGGGTAAACTAGGAAACTCTCCTTACTTTTAGATGAAGCCCCACTCCCTGTAAGAATTCTTGTTCTCATGGCATGTACCAGGCTACAGGGGCCACACCAAGGGATGTGACATAGGGACCAAAATTCACCCAATCACATACAACAAAGCTCTTGATCTCCTCTCAGGTTTGGAGATGAGCTGTTGTTTTATCTATTCAGTTCTGTCCTTCTTTAGAAATTAAATTTTAAATGTGAGGCTCATTTTTATGCAAATCAAATGCAAATGCCTACAAATATCTATTACACAAAATGTAATCTATCAAAGTAAAAACAATTTAAATATGGAAATAATAAAAGGAAGTGTTACCTTTTGCCTTTGTTTCTGGTTTTTCTTTTTTCTCAATTTTTTCCTTGTGAGTTGCTTAAACAGAAAATTTTACATTAGAATATAGATTTAACAGACATCAACACCAAGTTTTCTCTTGACCTCAGTTTTATAATCACTAAAGTCAGAAATTACTTTCGAACATTTATGTCACTGATGAATCTAATTCAGGAAAACCGTTACCAGTGTGATAATTACTATGCACAATTCAATGTTAAACTTGGCATTTAGACTTAGAAAACATTTTGAAAGCTAGATCCACCCTCTTTCTCTTCTAAGTCCTTATTCCAAGTATGTAAAGTTTCCAGGGAAGAACAACCAAAAAGGAACAATTTTATAAAAATTTATTGAAAAATACATCTTTATATCCAGAAGAACGTCTTAGGATGAATAATAAAAAATATTTAAATCAGGGCTAAAAGATAATTAGGCACCATGCTTCTTCTCAACAGAAGTGTGGCTGGCATTTGTGGAAGAACAATTCCTGTGAGGAGATATGTCATGGGGGGCAAATGCTCAGTCTCTTCATGCCCTCCCCTCCAGTGTCATTTTGACAATCAAAAATTTCCAAAGTGCAGATCTGTAATCCCAGCGCACTCTGAGAGGCTGAGGCAGGAGCATACAGCCCAGCCTGAGTATCTTAGTGATTTAGTGACAGCCTGTCAAAAACTAAAACTTACAATGCTCTACCTAGGTCCTGAGTTGCACAGAAGACACTGAATCACCCCGCTACAGGCAGGCAGCCACCTGATTCCACACTACAAAGACACAGAGGACACCAGACCACCAGACCAAGGTACTGAGTCCCACTGTTCCCTGCCCAGAGGTAGGGGCTTCTGAGCCGTCATCCCACTGCTCCTGGTCCAGAGGAAGGGGCTTCCCAGCCACCATCCCTCTGGCTGCTCCCAGCCCACAGGAAAGGGCTTTTGGGTCACCATCCCTACCGCTGCTCCCGGCCCCTGTCCCACCTCACCCA